ATACAAAATCAAGCAGACAAGTGATGAGAACAAAGAAAAATATCAGTTAGAGGGTTAAAACTTAGTCCAATGCTAATTCTCTGAACTAACATCATAAGAATTGTGTAACAGACAGTGAAGAGAGAGACCTGGGGAGAGAAGGGATTAAGTTACTATTACAAAAAGTGCAACATTACTAATTTCTTTTTATTGCAATACATGCAACATATACCGGTATACCTCTTCATTAGATACTGCCACCATATAACTCAATTTCTTTCCTTCCCTCTCACGGCTAAAGTAATCTCTATCACAAGTAACCCATTTCTGCTCCTGATAAGAATAAACTTCCACCCATACATGATCTGTCCAATCAGTGACATGACGAACATCAAAACCCATGGAGCGAAGCAGCAAGGCCTGACAGTTTGCATGTTCACCACATCTGCCACGACGGGTTTCTGAGGGAAGTTAATTGTATATTACAACATGCAGGCCTTTCAAAAATGCATAATTCTTAGTCCATGACTTATCCAATTTTCAAGTTTATATTTCTTTAGCACTGCATTGGTACTGAGTTCATGCATGTTTATCCAGTTAGGCCAAAAATCTTGGAAGCATGTCACTACTAACACTTTAATCCCTGAGGGTGATTAGCATCTAATTTCTCCTTTCAAAGTCACTCCTGAATCAAACATTAAGGTCAGGAGAATAAAGGAAATGATAATCAACTGAAGAACCTCTTGATCATTAAACAAATTCTCCTTACCAGTACCTTAGGAAATGTATAGAGAACAGTATGGAGAATTTGCTTACTGATGTTAGGGTGTAAAGGGTTAAGGAACTATATTTTTTTAAGGATCAATGTCAGTATCCAAGCAACTGCACACTTACCCCTCACCCAATCTGACAACAGTCAACTGATAACAAGGAAGGGTTAACCCTTTAACTCCCAAGATCTGATTGTTAATTCTCCCCTGTAGCTGCTACACATTTCCTTGTAAATTAGCTATGAGCATTTGGTGCTAGATCAAGATTGCAGCTTCTAACTGACAAGTTTGAATATTCTCATTACCTGTTTGCTGAAGAATGTTTGGATATTGTAGGGAGAAGTTTTATGTGAATCACTTCTGGGAGTTAAAGGGTTAATGTTGAGCTTGGGGAGGGGTAGGGATGCAGTTTCTCAGATGCTGACAGGAGGGGTAGGGATGCAGTTTCTCAGATACTGACACAACACGTAAAAGGATTACTCTGTCAGTTTGAAAATTCCTTTCATCTGCCTTGCTTAAAATATTAAAGAATAACACCACTAAAATATAAAATCTAATCATTTTAAAATTTTTCACTTGTGGATTAATGCTTGATGGTAAAGTCCCATGCAAAAACAAAGATGTGTAATCTCACATTTGATCACATGCATGATTCAAAGTGGTATGACACACATGTGATCCCAATTTTTCATAAGAGGTGCGATTCACTCTTTAACCCACACATTTTTATACTTACATACCTAACAACTTTGCTGGATGATTGTATCTTGGGAATCTTTCATCTGTCCCACAGTAAGGGCATTTGTATCCCTCTACAGGTCCAACTAACCACCTTTGTTCTTCTATTGTGGGGGGAAGTATTCCTATGTTTTTTGTTACTGTGCCACACCGTGAGCACTTTGGTTTATCCAGCCAGCGAAAAAATGAACCTAAATTCAAACATGATGTATGAGTAAAATTTATCTAAGAGCAATGAAGCAGTTTCCTTTACTTAGTGGCATCCTTGTTTAAAGTAGAGAAACACAACCCTAACTCTAAAAAGCCTCTTGTGATGTTCTGTCACATCATGTTCAAGGATTTTTGCATCTTTGGGATGGATGTGAATCTGTTGACTAAGCAAATTATCTGATCTAAAGACAGCCTCAATATGGATTTTTAAAAAACAAAGAGAATGCCTGTCGTTGGACACTCATGAGGCATCAGATTGGAGAACTCTTCAGATATTACAAGAAACTCTAGAGGCATTTTGAGTGCCTGAGCTATTTACCAACTCAGTCTTGAAGAATATTTCCTTTAACCTTTCATAGTGACTGAGTTCTGATATCTCCTCGCACTTGAATCAGATATAAACTTTGGGTCATGTCACTGAAGGGAATGATCACCTGAATTTAAGAAGCTCCTGATAGTCAAACAAATTCACCTTGTTGGTACCATAAGAAATGTTTCGAAAACAGTGTGGAAAATATGAATACTAATCATATTCCAAAGCCTATGTGTACATACCATAAAACCATTTGTTGACCTGACCCATTAAACAATCCCTTTCATCCCTTCCTGTTTGTTCGCTTTCCTTTCTTGCCTCTTTTCTCATTGCAGATACTGGCATCAAATCAAGTGCTTGCTGCTGTAAGCTAGGTTGTTCATAGAGTTGAACCACTTTATCCTGGCTCCGAAGCCTTGCAAAAAAGTATCTTTCATTCTGTTTTTAAAGAACATAAAATTTTTTTAATGTACATATGTCAGAGTATCACAAATGCAACATTTACAGAAATTGAGTATGATGCAATCATCCACTGGCAATGGCTGGGTAATGCCTTCATATGAGTTCCACAGAATAGGGTATTACCAAGAAATGATAATCATTTTATACCATAATTGAACACTCAATATGCAAAAAAAAACACTAAAAAATACCACCAACATCGATTTCCGGAGATAAATATTGATTTAGTTTTATCAAAAAGATTATTGAATACTAGTGAAGGGCAATAGAAACAGGTCGTTGGGACTTAGTAGACTATGACTGCTTCACTCTTTACACCCTAAGATCAGTACACATATTCTCTATACTGCTCTCTATACATTTCCTGAGGTGCTAACAAGGAGAACTTTATTCCTGTGCCTTAAAACTTTTATTCAGGGGTGATATTGGAAGGAGAAATTTGAACATTGTCACTCTTAGGTATTAAAGGGTCAACAAAGGTGAAAATTGCTGTAATTATTAGGTAAAACTTTCAGGACTTTGAAAACCAATTGCTTAGTACAGAGTGATTGCTTAAAACCATGCCTCTTGATACAGGTTTGACTGTATGTAAGTAATAACCAGTAATTTCAGTCTTCACTTATATCCTCTGTATAATTGTCCCATTTTTGAACTTCCCTGGTTTAATTCTGGTTAAATTTGGTTTGGTAAAATTTCTGCACAGCCCCATACTATTGTTAAACAAATCTGTTTTCCCAATGGCAATGTATTGTTTTTGTTATTGTTTTCTCTATCCAAGAACTAAATGCATAATGTGGTATGTGGCTGTGCGGAAACTTTACCACAACACAACTAAACCATTTTAACACAAAGTTATAACTCTTGAAGTAACAAGAACAAAAAATTATTTAAGGGACCATACCTCTGCTTGAAGACGGTCTAAAGTTACAACGTCCATCTTGTTTTACCTACGATCAGATCGTGTAAAGAAAACAAAGTCTGATTAGAAGTTACTACTCATGATGAATCGGATGGTTCAAGCTTGACCTTTACCTTACCTTGATATTTCAAATTAACCTTGTATTCGACGAATGTTTGCAATTTATAGAAGACACTTAAAATTATCCGTGACAAAATTTTTTGTTAAGCAGTGACGGTTAAAATCTGTATCATACTTTATTTTAACGTGCAAATATATTTGACATAAACACCAAACATGACGTAGACCTCTTTTAGGAAAATTTGGAATTATGACAAATTATCCGAATCTAAAATCTTCGAAAGTGAAATAATTTGCACGTATATCAAATGTTTACGCAATGTGAATGCTAAATCATCACGAAATATAGGAAAACCTGTAACATTCAGAAAAAGATCACAAGGTATGACGGATACAAAGAAAACATTTCCATTTTCAGCTACGATAACAAAGTAGAACTACTGTATATTTGCGCTCTAGACCCAAAGATAGTCAAACTTCAAAGGCTGAGAAACTACCAAGAAAAAAGCTAATTGAATTTCAAGGAAATGGAAATGGAACAACAAAAAGCTTATCATTACAATAAGAAAATTACTTCACCAAATAAGACATAAAAAACTTCACACTTTACCATCTAAACAGCCAAAAAATTAAATTCTTTATCATCTTCGTCAACAATGCACCTGTGTATTCGGTACAACATAAGTCTTCATACATGACATACTTATATCATTAGAAACTGTCACAAAACTGCTGGCCCAGATAATCGTGGGCGTGGACTCGCTTACTTAACGAAGCATGCTTGGTAGGCAGTTACAGTCATAATTTCTAACGTTTTCTGTCGTAAAATAAGTGAATTTACTACTTTTGATGTACTCTCAAAGTAAGTCTGGGAAATAATGTTGAGCATTTACCCCTGGCAGCATATACCTCTCCCAATGCAGTGACATTTCGATTAAACATCAACCGGTCTTCTACCGGCTTCTTTTGTTTTGTTAAAGGTGTAGTAAAGTTAATGTAAGATGAAAGCCAAGGCTTACAAAGCCTGGTGATGGAGTAAACACTGACCTCCGGTCCAAGAACTATTCAGATGGACTACCCTGAAATGGACTAACTTCACAAAATTCTATTTCGAATGAGTTCTATTGAAAGCACTGCTATCTATATACTTATACTTAAACTGCACGTGCCTAGTTATTTACATACAATATTTTTTAGTTTAAAGTCAAATGTCAACTTCGAGTCAGCGCGGGGAATGGCAATAAATCGTTTCCGCTGTCTACTTAGTTTCAGTACCCCTTATTTCACTTAATACTTTTGTCCACTTCAACGGTCTTCAATGCTATTACCTGTTTCGTCTATTAAATAGGCGTTGCCTCTTGTTTATAGATTTACTCAATGACAATAATCATGATTGACATTAATTCTATAGATTGATTTAAAAGTGTTAGATTATAATGTTTCAAGTCAGTTTTTCAGCGGAATCGAAGTAAGGAAAAAGTTATTCTGTTGTCATTTTTTCTGTCTCTAAATCGGCTTACCTGGAGAATCTGCTAACCTGTAAAGTGAAACTGTTATAACGACCCGCCACAGAAGTAAGTTTACATTGAAGTTTTTGAATTTAGCTACGAGATTACGACTTGATTTCCTTTGTTCTGATTGCGAATTCTAAATGTTTTTCTTGTAGATCGAATAATTAAAAAAGCTTGGCTTGATATTATACGGTTTGTGGTGGTCATTTGATCTAACCAGTTCCGAGTAAGGAAACAATACCGTATTGTTTCTGCTTCGAGCTTCACCTCAAAAGTCGCTTGTAAACACGTTCACTCTTTTTTAGTGCAATAGCAACGTGTCGGGTCATACAACATGCCGTGTCTGTTTGTTTCGCTTTAGATCACCTTGCTGCTGTGGAGTACATGTATCACTAAATCTAGAGACGTGAGATGGCTACCTGTGAAAAATCTCCGATGTGCATGGCAGATATCTGCGTCAATCTACACACTGAAGCACAAAACAGTGAATATTATCGATATCACGCCTTACTTCATGACCAATACTGAGGGAGTTTACATGACTTCGAGCTATTTTTTGTAGGAAGAACTTTTTAAACAGTTTAAAATAATCGCCTCATTTTATTGACGTTTTTCCATGGCTGGCGAAATACCGAAGATTCGGAGGGTATAGTCCATTTGGGTAGCCAAACCAGGTAGCTCAAGGACTGGGGACCAGTGTTTAGTTCATCACCTATCAAGCCTTTGCCGACAAAACCTTAGCTCGATGAGATAAAAGACGTACCACTAACGAGGCCAATTCGAATTTGTGTCGTGCAAAACTACAGCTTGAAGAAGACAACAAAATTACAGTGCGGTAAGACATAAAACAAGAAAAAGGTAACGATTTACCTTTACCAAAAGGAAACCGAGGAGGATGGCCGAAGATAAATAAGCCCCACGCAAATTTTTTTAAATCACATACTTTATTCTAAACTTCATTTTAATTAACCTACCATATGCATATCACAAGTTCCTCACGTTAAGAATTTAATTTCTTTTCTTCACTATGCTCTACACTCTGGTGAATTTAAATCTTACTGTACTTGCATCATATCTACTTACTATTAATGAGTCTGGAAACTGCCACAGAAGTTACGAATAAATGCAGACAGAAAATGCAAAGAACAAGTCGAGAATGAATTCTTAAAACGAGTAAATTCGACTAGACAACTAAATATTTTGACTCCTATAGAATGTAATGAACTAAGTTTTCCGCTATCTGTTAAATATAAGCTACAGTAAATGTAAACTACAGTAAAACCCTAATGTAAAAAACTCGGTCGGTTTGACAAGTAACGAAAGCATTCTATGACATTCAAACATTGCTTTTACGAATGGCTGGTCTTAAGAAGTTTCTTGGCTATATCGGGGTTCGTTATAAAAAAAAAAACTGATTTACTTCAGCCAACTGATATCTTAGAGTTGACAGAGTAATTTTGGTTAAGCTAAAATCAACGGGATATCCGTATTTGAAAAGGTTTTGTGTTCGATAAGTCACGAGTTTTCCCCTTCCTTACTTTTTCCCCAATTACAGATATCGATGAACGTTTAAATTTTCTTTTCCTTATTTTGCAAGACAACGGTTGTTTCTTAGGTTTTCCTTTAGAATTTTGCGCGGGAAATTGACATACGGACGGCCTGGATTAATGCCCTTTCGCATGCTCGAGTTTGACAACTGTGTTGTTAACAATTTGCTCGTGCGACGAGCTCATTTCAGTAGGATTTTACTGTAGCAGCAAACTCTAGGGTCACAAGCCTTAAAGATGAGTATCACGTGAAGGTTCTTTCATAGAGACTAAGATATCCAAGGGATATTCACTTTGACTGGTGAACGACTGACGGAAAATCTGAGCGTGTTGCCAAGCAACGTCTCCTTTCCCGCCACTGATCGTGGCCGTCAATTTGAGAGTTTTGGAGCCACTGAGTACGGACGTTATGGTGGATTCCTGGCCTATTGAAAGGTAGAGGATGAATGTTGAATAAAAACCATGCTGTTGATTTTAAACAAACCATAATTCACGAACTTATAGCGCTTTAGCAGTTTGTCTTTCTTCATCTTTTTCCTTTTTTTTCGCAAATGCAACTCACAGCAAGAAACTGAAAGCGTCATAAATTTCCCGCCTATGCAAGGAGCGTTCCGCCTGAATTATTCCGCCAATGCAGAACACGTTGCAAATCCCCCACTCATGGCAGGACGCGTCTGCAGTTATTGATTTTCCCGCCACTGAAGAGCGCGTCGAACATTTCACGATTTACTGTATAAATAACGCACAAAAGTACAAACATTAAATTGCAAATGAAGAGTTCCTTTCAGTGACTATTTCCTTAATCCACCTCATTACTCATCTTTTGAGTAGATTCATAGATAACGTAAGGAGAACACACACCTCCTGATAGCATTTCTACTTGATTCTCCTCATCCCCACTTAGTTTCCAGTCCACCCGTCCAGTCTGAAAAGTGTCGCTCCTAGCTATTATTGTAACACTGTCGATCACAAGATCACAGGAATTTAAATCTATTTGCCAGGTTATATGGCCAGTTGAAGCAGTTTCTGTTCGCGCCAGGTAAACCTGAAAGGGTAGTGAAAGAACTTAGATTTTAGATGTCAAATGTTCGCAATAAACTGTATTAATAAAGTAGTTTTTCAATAACCGAAGATTTGTTAACGCACACTCTTACCATTTTCCAGTCCCTCTCGACTTTACGTGTGATAGAACTGAATGAAGCCACTCTCGACTGCCAACCAGAAAGATCTAACTCTCTATCATAACCTCGGAAATATTTATTCGTCACGCAATTAAAGCACAGGCGTAGTCTACAAGGAGAGAAAAAAAGCGAGTAGGGTCAATTTTCAATCGAGTGTTGATAAGAAAGCGGGTTACAATTACTTCGCTTCGATACACTCCCTGACTGATCTTGAAGACGCACACTTTCTCCTCAGCCTGACATCAGTATGCATATTCTCTATACTGTTCTCTATACATTTCCTACGGTGCCGACGAGAAGAATTTGTTTAACAATCAAGAGCCTCTTTGGTTGATAATCATTTCCTTCATTCTCGTGACCTTATTGTGTGATTAAGGGGTGATATTGTAAAGAGAATTCGATTTCTAATCACTCTTAGGCGACAAAGGGTTAAAGAACCAGACCCCTTTGTAAGTCTGGCCAGCAGAGCAAGCGTAAATGATTTTGGCGAGAGAGTGCTCAGTGATTTCCTAACGAAAATTATGACCGACATCTTTGATTTTAATGGCAACGGAAGGCTGTGGAGAGAAAGAAATTTGTAATTTGGCGGTCGACAGTGGGGGAGTGAAGATTATTGTCCAGTTGGCCAACTCAGGCTCGTTTCACGATTGAAAATTGTCAGCACTCTTTGCGGTAATTCAACCCGGGCTCGTGCGATAAAGCCGTTGGACTTTGTCACCAAACGACTCGTTTCGATTACGTTGATATTTCTGTTCCTACCTTTTTTCCTTGATTTCCTCGTCAGTAGGTTTATAAATATAAGGCTCGTGCTAAAAGGGAAGAAGAAAAGACAGGAAACATCTTTCAAGCAACTGAGCAAAAGAACTTATTAAAATACACATACAAGACAACTTGGGGAAGGGAAGACAGGGGAGCTGGAAACAAGGCTGTGGATGAAGCTACATTTCCGCTTGCGAATTTTTTTCAATCATTATTTGTAATCCGAGTTATTTTTCGTCATCCTTGACCATCCATCTTCCTTCTTTGTCTATTCCTGCCTCAGCTGTAATTTTCTATCCTAACAGACTTTCGTTTTACAGTCTCCTTCTCGAGGTGGGTGTAATTTTGCACTAACAGAAAAGGGCTGAAAACAGGCAGTTTATGATTCACCTTCTCTTCATCTGCTTGTTGTTTTGTTTCGCCTCGAAGCAGCCTCCAGGCCAAAGAACCTGACACTCGTCCCTGCAGTTCATCATGACGCACAGACTTTATGGTAAAGAACTCAACCAATTCCTTCACCTGACGCTCCGCCAAAGCTTTTCGCCTAGCTTCACTAAGGTTTCTTTGATGCTAAAAATTAACGATATATTTTAGTAAGCTGGTGAAGGTGGCAAGGAGGTGGTGAAGGATAACCCATAAATTTCAGCAGATGCAGATGTCCGCGCCTGCTCTAAAATTGACACTTACAGTACATCCCCTCGTCTTTTCCAAAAGCCAAATTATGTACACTAATTTGACTGTCACGGTCAGCTGTTTTTCCTGCTTTTAAAGTTACTTATTAATCCCAGAAACTAGCGAGTGAGCGCTTTTTGTCATTTATTTTCAACAGTTCTTTTAACGAATTAATTCCAACCACTAACTCGGATATTGCATGTTTTCATGCCTTTTACGCCAGTTATTCGTATTCCGACTTTTCTCTCCTTTTATGCATTTTCCCGCCTTTTTCGCCAGTTACTCGCTTTCCTGTCTTCGACGCCAGTTATTCGTTTTCCCGCCTTTTTCACCCGTCACTCGTTTTCCCGCCTTTCTCGCCCGTTATTCGTTACCCGTAATCTCTGGCGTTTTCGACAGGCTTTTAGTTCACCAATCACCATCAGTTCTTCACTTTCCCGCGCTTTTGACCAGCGATTCCTTTCTCTGTTTCTCACCGCTGATCCTATCCCCGCGCTTTTTGCGAATGACTTATTTTCTCTCGTTTTCCTTTCCTGTCGCATGTTTACTTCGCTGAATCTCACCTCTTCAGTCATTCTGTTTAACGTCTCCACTAACCAGGCTTCTGACACTAAATTTCTCGCCTTTTTCACCTCGTCATGCTTGGCAGAGTATCGCCATGTCACATCCAAAACCTATATCCAAATTAAACACGCACAGCATGAAAAATAAATGTCGAGTATTCCTATTGTTGAATGATCTACAATTGCAGCTATCATACTAACCTGCTCATGAGAGAACGCTATGATATAACTGAGTCTCTTTCCCCAGCCAGCCTCATAAAGCAGCGGTTTATCGCAGGCGTTTTCACAGGAGTCACAATGCAGCCATCTCTGCTGAGCTTCAGAATACACTTCTGTCCATACGTGATCTGTCCAATCCAAAATGTGTCGCGCCTCAAATCCTATAGCTCGACAGCATAATGTGAAACAATTGGCCCATTCACCGCATCGGCCTCTGCGTGTTTCTACAAATGAAAGAATAAAAACATAAAGTCAATGACAAGAATTTCAGTGACACACTCGGCTGCGCCTTGCAAGCCATTTTTTTTTCCTACCGCATTTTGATGCCATCTGTGATCTATTGCTGTACAGACATACGGCAACAGGGAATCTATTTGTTCAATAAAAATGAATTGTTGATTGAAAAGATGTTGTCGCACATTCTCACCCAAAAGTTTTGCAGGGTGATTGTATCTTGGGAATCTTGTAACCTTTCCACAGTAAACACATTTATAACTCTCCACGTTCCCAGCCCCCCAGGCCATTTCCTCAGGTGTCGGGGGAACCACACCAATAGCGAACGTCAGAGAACCACATGACGGGCAGGAAGGTTTGTCCACCCACTTGAAAAAAGTACCTGGAACATAAGAAAGAAAACGCTGTCAATTTACATTGTAGCTGATCTATGCCACCTCGGATACATAGAACATGAAGCAAATCCATATTCTACCACAATTGGTTGTAATTAGTCGCAATCTGACTAGCAAATTTTGCGTTGTCAATAAGAGTACAAACAACGCTTCTCGCGTCAACGTGTCACGCAATGGTCACGCACTGAAAGAATCGTTTCATTTGATGTTAAGATTGTGATTGCGCCTCGTGATTCCACATCATTTTGACCACTGTGATCACGAATATAGCTGTCGATAAGAGTACAGACCACGCTAGACCGCTGACAATTTGTTATTTCTTTACATTTACCTTTAAACCAATTTAGAAGTTCTAACACAAGGCAATCTCTTTCATCTACCCCACCATCCCCTCCCTGCTTAGTTCTCTCGCTGGCTTCTTTGGCTCTCTTCTCTAACTCAGCCAAGGGAATCATTTCCCGCGCTCTTCGTTGCAAATCTTTATCTTCGTAAAGAAGCACATGTCGTAACGAGCTATGAAGTCTCAAAAGAAAGTCCCTTTCCTTGTCCTATAATAACAAAAAATGGAAAGAGTTATTCATTAGGATTGTTCTTGAAAGTAAAGAACCCTAGGACATCACGCTGATGTTAAACCCTCTTCACTCAAACAGAGTAAAATCAAGACCATAATAGGGATGGGAAATTTTGATAGGGGAGGGGTCCAAGACTACTCGACCAACACTTCCCTTTCAGTCCCCCATTTTTAGTCTCAATTTCACTATAAAATCAGCCAATTGAGAAGTAAGAAGCCTTCTTTTTATTGCAAGAATTTTGGTGTCAGACAAGTAGTGTAAAAACCCAAAGATATGACAGGAATGGGGGGTTGGTGTGCTCTGAACAACCTCTACCCACCATCTGAATCTACCACTGCTTAGAATCACATTCTTTTAATTATGGAGCACTCTGGACTACTTCTGATTCTCCTGGATGGAATTCAGGTTTCTTTGACAATTCATTTGACAATGCAACTTGTTTATAATCCTAAGGTAACAGAGGCACTGCAAGAATTGAGCATCTTATCAAGGAACACCAACAAAATGATCATTTAGAGATTGGTTCTGTGCCACTGATCTTAAGGGGGCACCATGCCTCCTTCCTCTTCTTATTATTAACAAGGGGTTATTTGAAGAGAAGACAAAATTACCGACGGATTAGCAGCTGGACTGGAAACAATAGTTGGTTGTGCGCATGAAGGACCATTGCTTTGAGGTTGGTTGACTGGTGCTGGAGTTGGAGTAGGTTCAAGTTCCTGTGCAGTGCCATGACGACTTCTCTCGTCATTCAACGCGTCCTGAAGAATCAACATCTTTTCTAAGGATTCACCTTGTGGGCACACTAGTTGATCACCTCTCTGCAAAATTAGACACAAATTGTTAATTGCCATCTTAAGCAAGTTATTTTTGCCTAATCTTACCATAATTGCTATTAAAAATAATCATACAATTATCAAAATACCATACACAAAATCAGCACAACAACCAATTTCCAGTTATTAGTGGAACTGAATGCATAATTCACCAGTAACCTCTTTTTTTTTAATTCAATATTTAGAATTTGTTCAAAGGTAGGTCCAAACTTTATGGAATGCCTGGGAAATTTTAACTGAGTAGTTTCCAAACAACAGGGATTTTGGGTTTTGTGGTCTCCTTCCAAACTTATTGTAGCCTTTGAAACTAGTGGGTATAACCTTATGAAACAACATGGCCTCACAATAACATGGCCACCTACTTTAAACATATCAACAGCCCTGATGAAACTCAAGTGTTTTGATCAGTACTACCTCTTTGAATCCCATGGTGAAGAGGCATTCCACAGCTCCATTTACTGGAAGAAGCCGTGACTGGAAAATCTTGTTGCTGACTTTAATGGCTCGGTACTTTGGATTATCAGGATTGTTGATGATGTTGGATGCAAACCTAAGCAGAAGCTGTGACACATCCATGAAGACTTCCCGCGGGTTGTCCAGGAGCTGTTCAAAACAGTCCCAGCTACGACCTGTTGCAACTCTCTTAGGATCCACAGACTGAAATAAAACATGGAAAGTCACATTAATAACATAAAGTACAAGCAAAAAAAGGATGAAGACCACTGACAAATATTACACAAATTCAAAGCAGGCTACAGTGCTGTAGCTCATTCCAGTCTTTACAGCATGATGTGAAAGTTGGTATCACAGCTTCTAGGTGGGGGTGACTACCCTTCTCCAGAATTCATCAAGTTTTTCTAGTCCAAAAGTTCAGGGGTAATATTATAAGGTGGGACCCTTGCGATCTCCAGATGTGTTCCTGCAAATCTATCAGAAGAGGGTTTTACTTCAGATTGCAACAAATCTTCTGAAGCTCAGTCTCTGATGTAAAAACCTGTAAAAACCAGTTAGAGGACAGAGGAGAGGACAGGGAACAAGAGCCCAGTAGAAAAGGTGGGGGGAAGAGGGCAGGTTAGGTTAAGGTGACTGGTGAGGAGAGTGTAGAAGGGAAAAATAAATGTACAATTGCAAGAATGCTTCAGAATTAATTTGCAGTGTTT